CGGATGTAATGCTTCAAGGTATAGAAACCATATTTTGGACTATTATATCTATATAATAATGTCTCTCCTCTCTTCACTTTGGGTAGTGAGTCGGTCAATGGTCAGTCAAGGGTGAAGACAGGGTTACTCTTTTTGCCAACAATTTCCTCGATCTTTTCTTCTTTTATTCATGGGTCCAATTATTTGAACCCAGAGCTGTAAACTGCTAAACCCTAGCTACCCATCAAAGCATAAGCAGCCGGTTGGTTGGTTCAGTTCTCAGAACACTGACACCTCCTCCCCACCATAGTCAGAGCACAGCACAGATGCTTATTGGGAAGTGGGGTCCTTTCCATTTTTTTTTTTTATTTTGAAATTTTTGTCACGTTTTTTTTCCTTTCCTGTTCTAGCCTCTAGGCAAAAAGTATGGGCTCCTCCGGCCCAATTTTACTCAAGAACGGGCCAAAACCAAAGGCAAAAACGCCTAAATAGACACTCACACATTGCCAAAAGCCCATTGGTCCTTGGGTCTGGAGAAGGACAACACACTGGGCATACCCTCCTCACCTACGCTACGTAGTTGTTTAATTAATTTTCAATCAATATATAAATAAGAACCAGATCACTGCTTCTCCTGTCATGTGGGTCCAAGTTGGGGGGCCGTTCCACACTTCCACCCATATTCATGAAAAAGACCAAGAAATTAATAAGACTTTGAAAAGTCTAACCTTCTTTTCGTTTATTTGTTTATGTTTTTTGTTTTTCTGGGACAGCCTACTACCTACCCCTCCCTTCCTGTTTCTTTTGCATTTGTAGTCTTTTAGCCATAGCTATCTAGTATCTAGTTTGTTGGATGTGAGAATAGCATGAGTCCTCCTCCATTCAACCCAAAGATCAGAACAGATGAACAACTCCTGCCGAGCTGTTGCCCCAACGTGCAGCCAATAAGGCCACGAGCAACCGTTAAAGCCAGTGGAATTAGGATCTTCTCCCAATAAAACAAGTTCCAATCCTCTTTATCTTATACCGCACATCTCACCATGAGATTGGGACTGACCATAAAAATGAGACCTGTCATATATCACATGTGGGTTGTGAGATCATGTTGGTAGAGGGTTGGAATGTATTTGTTGGTAGGTGATTCTGATTCCAATCTAGTGGCTTTACTGCATGCATCTGTTATTTATTTATTTTGGTTGATAAATCCAAAGGGATTATAAAATACGTGTACTATGATTACAAGCATCACAAAAACAAATGAAATCTAAGGTCCACAGAAGTTCATTAATAGAAAAATATCAATCACTAAGGTGGCGTTTGATAAATCTGAACATTCAGATTTAAAAAATTAAAAAAATATACAAAGTGTGAAATCTGAAAAGATGCATAACTGTTTTTCTACTTTTTAGAGGATTTGAATCCATAAGTTTGTTTGTATTGGATGAACCCTTTATCATCTGAAATTTACTGATTTTACTATTTTACCCCTAGAACATACTATTTGGAAATGTTGAGTTCAATTTGCATTATCTCATAAAAAATAAATTTTAACCTCAAAATAATATTGAAATAATACAAGTAATAAATAATAAATTATTAATTATTAATTAAGAAATGAAACAATTAAAATTAAAAAATAATTAATGACTATAAAAATATTAAAATAATTAATAATTTACACAAATAAATTTTAAAAATTACTAGTTAATAAAAATAATTTATGTTTAAGACAAGGGGAACCGCCGTTGTTGCATGTTCCAGCAGTGGTGGCGGTGCTGGGAAGACAGGGGAGAGAGAGAGGGGGGGGG